TCTACTCATCACAGCGACGACAGTCGCTTGTTTCCTATCCTCATATGCCTGGTCAAACCATTTATTGGGTACACTCGCGGAAAGCATCTGCTGAGGTTTTAATGGCCAAGTCGGTCGTTTATAACGTCGACTACGATATTGAGCACAGACGCTTTGGGCATCCATCGGATAAAGCCCTGAATAAAGCTCGGAAACATACGCAAGGTTTCCCACTTGACCTTAAGATGCCTACCAAAAAGACACCTCTGTGTCGTGGTTGTGCTGAAGGCAAGATGCATGAGAAATCGTTCCCCAACTCTAAAACAAGAGCTTCTAAACCTTTTGAACACATACATTCGGATTTGAAGTCGTACCCGGCTGAATCGTATCACCGGTACAAGTACTACATCTCTTTTCTCGATGACTGCACGTCCTACGTTTGGACCTCCAAGCTCAAGACGAAAGACGAGGCAGTACCCGCTTTGAGGGACTTCCTTACTATGGTCAAGACGCAATTTAATGCTGTTGTCAAGACCTGGATGTCCGATGAAGGGGGAGAGTACAAAGGAGATAAGTTTGATGCAGTACTGAAAGAGTATGGGATCCAAAGGGATCAAAGCATACCGTATACACCACAACAAAACGGTCGTGCTGAACGATTTAACAGGACTATTCATGAGAAGGCTGAAGCTCTTCGCTTTGAAGCTTGTATGCCTCAGTCCTGGTGGGAATTTTGCCATGTGCACGCCGTCCACCTCTACAATCGCACTCCTGTGCAACGTTTGAGCTGGCGAACTCCGTTCGAAATGCTTTACGGCGAAGCACCTGATGTTTCACATCTCCGAGTATTGGGTTGTGCAGCCTACGTCTTCATTCCTGAAGATCGTAGGAAGAATAAGCTCGCTCCTCGCAGTGAGTTGATGACTTTCATCGGCTACCAAGATGGGATGAAAGGCTTCCTGTTCATGCGAAGCAATAATTCTGTATTCAAAGGTAGCACTGCACTATTCGATGAGACGCTATACAATAAGTGTCCTGATGCCAAAACTCGTGGCTTCACACCTGTCGGTAGTGAACCATTTACTTTGGGTGAAAATCCCAACATTCCTTCGGAAGATGAAGACTCTGATGATGATTGGGACGATACTCCGTTCCCAGATCTCAGACGTCGCTCCGAACCTTCTAAGAGATCAGAACCTCAGGTTGACGAATCTGCAGGTGGCCCTGCGCCAGGGGATATGCCACTCCCTCAATCTGGTCCTCCGACGCCTCCAGGCGAGCCCGCCGTTCCTCCGCCTGCACCAGCAGCGGATGGTCCACGCCGGTCTTCGAGGCAGCGGAAGGGTACAACGCAACCTGGTAACATATTTGGTGAACAGCGGAACCCAAATAGACCCTCAGACATTATTCGCGACTTAGAAAATAAGAATACTTGGAGAAACGTCACTGGAGATAAAGAACCTTCACATCCAGTTGATCGTCCTAGCTCTTCGCGATCTAGGAAAGGCAAAGGTGGTAAAAAGGGGATTCCTGGTCCACTTCCGCCTCCGCCTGCTCCAGAACCCAGTGGAAGCACTGAGTCGCATGAGGAAGAAAGCATAGTCGAAAGACTGACCCAAGAAGGGGGAGTAGGATTCGTGATTTACCTGCTGAACAATGCCGTTCCAGTTCACGATTCGCTTCCAACGTCCGATACTCCTGATTTCTCTAACATCAGAGAGTGGACACTCCGCGATATTCTAAAGTTGCCTGTTGAGCAACAGAAGGAATGGAAGACTGCTTGCCACGAAGAACTTGAGGCACTTCGTAAGCGCAAGGTCTTCGAACTCTGTGACTTGCCTAAAGGTCGCAAAGCCATCAGAAATAGATGGGTCTTCGACGTCAAGTCGAATGGTCGCAAGAAAGCTAGACTTGTTGCCAAAGGCTTCTCTCAGGTCGAAGGTGTCGACTTTGATGAGATCTTCTCACCAGTTGTTCGTTATGAGACTGTTCGTATGATGCTTGCTCTCGCAGCTCTCAAGAACTGGTACATCACTTCTGTTGATGTTAAGAACGCCTTTCTTTATGGCGATCTTGTTGAGGAGATTTACATGGAACAACCTGAAGGCTTCAAAGTCAAGGGCCAAGAACGTAAGGTACTATGCCTGCGTCGTGCATTATATGGACTGAAGCAAGCTGCCCTTGAATGGTGGCGAACCCTTAGCTCGTCCATGGAAGTATTAGGCTTTAAACGCCTGACTTCTGATGCTGGACTCTTCATCTGCAAAGATCCGAAGAGCGGTGAAGTTGTGTATGCGATCATTTACGTTGACGATGCACTCTTCATGGGTCCTAACAAAGCTTTTGTTGACAAGAAGAAAGCCGAGTTCATGGCTCGATGGGAATGCCGCGATATGGGCGATGCTAGCGAATTTCTCCGCATGAGCATTCGTCGCGAAGGCAATAAGATCATGATTGACCAGAAGGATTATCTGAAGAAAGTCCTTGAACGTTTCGGGATGCAGAATGCAAAAGGTGCTCCTACGCCCTTACCTGCTGGCTATGTGCCAACTCCTAACGATGGTCCAGTCAATCCTGCCATTCGCTCCAGATTCCAGTCTGTGATTGGGTCACTTCTGTATATAATGCTGGGTACACGTCCTGATATTGCCTATGCAGTTACGAAGCTTTCCCAGTTTTCTTCTAATCCAACGAAGGAACACCTCGATAAAGCTCTCTATATCTGCCACTATCTTGCTGGTACATCAGATTATTCACTCGTCTACGATGGTGATTCTGATGGAGGTCTTCTTGCGTTCACAGACTCGGATTGGGCTGCCGATCCTATCAGACGCCGTTCGATCACTGGCTACTTCTTCAAGTTAGCAGGCGGCATCTTCTCGTGGCAATCACACGCCCAGAAGACTGTAGCTCTTTCTTCCACTGAAGCTGAGTATATGGCACTGTCGGATTGCAGTCGTCAAGCCTCCTGGATAAGATCGCTACTCTCTGAACTTGGAATCAACTTGGGTCCTATTCCAATCTGCGGAGACAATCAGGGCTCTATCTTCATTGCGTCTAATCCGGTTCAAGAACGCCGAACCAAGCACATCGATATTCGATATCACTATATTCGATCATGTGTTGAAGATGGCAAAGTCGAGTTGTTCTTTATTGAAGGAGTCTATAATCCCGCAGACATGTTTACGAAGAATCTCGGACATGAGAAGTTCTTACGGTTCAGAGATCACCTTGGACTTGAATTCTATTCGTCCACTTGATTCGCTCAGATGCGCTCTTCAGCTGCACTTAGCGAGGGGGTGTGTTGAATCCGTGGACTATAATTAGATCCCGGTATATCCGAAGTCCCGGTTCATACTTCCCGCCATCATATTATGCGGGACTATTGTTCCATTTATCATTTCTACTTATGATCATATGTACAATTTCATTATCGTCCTTATATGGTATTCACTATAGTCTCTACATGTATATAAGCTCGTAGTTCTCTACTTGAATCTACAGTGTGCTTGAGCTTCTACGTCTCGCCTCTATCTCTCTAAACTCCTCTCTGGTAAGTAGTAGTATAGCTATGTTGTAGTCCTCTGCGCTAGGCGTCATGCCGGCTCATCAACCGGTACTGTAAATAAATGACCGCCCCTCAAGATAGTCTGTGCACAAAGCTTCTTCGCTTCCCACCCTACTTCATCCCCCACAACCTCGATCACGACGCCGTCCTATTCTCACACTGATAGACTGATGGCTCCTGCTGGTTGTCTCCAAGTCGATGTTAAAAATTTGATGTTGAGCTGAAGTTGAGTCTCAGTGCGTCTTTTCAAGTTTTTGAACGTTGCCCTAGGATTTGACCAGTCAAATTCAAGGACAACGATGACGGACGCCTAATGTACGGCAGGGGCAAAGCTCGAATGGACAGAGAAGACTTGAAGGGCTGATCATTCTTGCTCTCAATGGGTTAGAGTGCGTCCTTGGCCTCTCCTGAATTGACCTATTCTCGAATCTGACTGGTTGGGTCGGCCAAAACGACACAGCGACGACTGTAGACAACCTGGTGACGGTTCAAAAATCAAGAAGGTCGATCGGTATCTGTTGGTCCTCACCCGACACCGGTACCTGTCGTAAAAGATCTCGGTCCATTCATTTTGATAGCCCTCAAGAAGTTCTACCCGTCTGTACCCTGCTCTGCCACTCAGATGGTCAGCGTAGACCTTTCCAACTCTCCGTTCGCTTGGTGCCCGGACTGTCGTGAACCAAAATCTTGGACCGGTTATTGTGCACCGTTTTGCTTTCAGGATTATGTTCTCGTCTATATCGGGACTCGGGAGGTCTCAAAACTCCCCTGTATTGGCCTATTATACCCAAGTACTCACATTATCTATCAGTCACTACTGCAACCGTAGTGTCCTCCGATATCTCAGCAGATCACATTACTTGACGTTTTTTCGTGCTATTCCTCTCTTCTATCACGGCTTATTCGTCGTCCCTCTGCTGCCTTTGTTTGCGTTATTCCCCGGCCCTCAATTACATACATACATACATCTTTGTTTCAGGTAGACAGATGAATGGAAACATGACCCATAAGCACCTCTCGGGATTGATTGGATTCCATTATCAAGGATAGTCAGCGTAGACACTTCTTATGTTCTCAGTTTGCACAGTGTCACGACCATGCTGCGAGTCAACGTCTTGGTTACCATCTCGACTCCTCGTCGCTGTGTCCAGTCTTTCATTTCTTTTACCTCTCACAAACCGTAAGATTACCTATCTCAGAAACGAATCTTACTTGTTTGTCGTGCTATTCCATCTTTCTAGTATTGATTTCCTACTACCCCTCTGCTGTATTTGCTTGTGCTATCATCGCGTACATACTTCTCCATTGTCGTTTAGGATAGGTAGCCCAAAATGACAGTAGACTTGCATCTTGACGTTGCTTCATAATGAAGTCCTCCGTAGGACCTTTGAAAAAAGAACATGCACCCCGTCCAGTCTGAAGCACAAAAAATTGGTTTTGTTACAGAACTATATGCATCAAGAGGGAATCGAACCCCCGGCGGGTCGAAACCACGCACTTCGCAACGATGGCAACGACCCAGGTTACCACTACCCCATTGATGCGTCCACCATGTCAGATCGATACACAGCACATCTCGAGCAGAAACACACTGACCGAGGGTGTCGGCTTCTCTGATAACATTGGTCATTCAAGATTTGACTTGGATCAAATACATTCCGCTGCTTCCTAATACTATGGCCGCCTGGTGAAATGGCATCACGTCTGACTACGATCCGGTCTGCTCACAGGTTCAGATGTCGTATCAGGAGGATGCAAATCCGACCCCTGCGTTGGTCATGGTTTCAAATCGCGACAGTTATTCTTCTATTCAGATTTCCTGCGATCTCAAGAGCTAATCAATCAACCTGACCATGTGACTCGGTGGCGTAGTTGATTATCGCATCTGTCTTACATGGAGGTGTTCCACCATGTAAGTTGCACAGAAGGTCCCCAGTTCGAGCCTGGGTCGAATCATAGGGAATGCTGATAGGGTTTAATTTTTTCTTTCCTCCCCAGTACTTACTAGGAGTTGAGCTCCATTTTGATCAATAATACACATTCTCGAAAATCTTTCAATGTCTCTCGCAAATAAACAGAGACAAAATGTGTGCGTACATTCTTTTCGCCTCTTAATACCCTATAACTACACTACTTCCTACCGATCGCGTTGTTGATATCCTCCCTACGTTGTTCAATCAACTTCTTGATCTTTATCTAAGTCAGATCAGCTGCGCTCAGACGAAATATCTCAACGTGCATCTTGGAACTAAACCGCTATTCATTATAACTTGAAGCTGACTGCACTAGACAACATCCATTCATCATTGATAACTTTCCTGTTGATGATCTCACTACTCGATTTTACGCTTCCGTCTCAAGTACGTCCAGACCTGGTGGCTGGGAAGCACCCATGAGACATACTGCTCGTTAAGGGTAAACTGATCATGAGGCTGACAAATAGCTTAGCTTCGTTAGTGGGTTGAGAAGCTTGGTTACATCATCTAGAAGTCAGAATGATGGGACTCTGGCTTATTATCCACACCACCGCTATCACTCCCTCAAAATGTACACATCACACGACAATGATCTTGAAACAATTTCTGACTCAACTTCGACCTGATATGACAGGGCACAGTTAGTGGCCTCTCAAGTCACTCTTAAGCGAGGGCGAGGGTCCAAGGTCAAGTGTCAAAGGTCGAAGGTCAAGGTGGGCTTTTACTGGTATATTACCAAGTTGTTAAGCTAAGGAAAGGTCATATGTACATTGGGTTTATATACTGGAATCTGTCTAGGTCCAGAGTCGCTCTGAGTCACGCTGAGTCGCAGGCATGTGAGTCGTTTGTAGTTGGACTGATACATTGTGGGAGTGGCTGCGAATATTGTGTGAGTTGTTGTGGTTATGACTCGGGGTGTCATATGGAGATCTCTACTGGGCATGGTCTGGAGCTGTGGTCTGGATGCATAGCTCCACTTACTCTGCGGAGTCGTCTATAGAGATATTTGAATGAGTGGGAAGGGTGGTAAGGGAGAGGTGAGTTGGGCAGGGAAGAGTGTCTGTATGGGCGCTTGTTGGTGGGAGTAGGGGTAAATTGTAACAGTACCCCCCTCTTAAGACGTGTTTTTGCCTGGAACACGTTTATTTTGTTTGCTCCGTCTCTTCTCTGGCTCTCGAAATGCCATAGGGTGTTTTGAGTGAAATTCTTCTACTGCTTCTTTTGCGTTCTCGAGATTTGATTTGGGTTCCCATGAGTCCTCTGTTTCTGGAAAGTCTACCCATCGTACAAAGTATTCAATGGGGATGCGTTTGTTGTCAGGTTTCCTTGAATCTAAGATTTCGTTGACTTCGTATTCTGTATCCTCTGGTACAAGTTCTGGTGTCTGTCCAGGGTAGTTGGGTCCATGTTCCTCTGTCTCCCTGAAGGGTTTGAGAAGAGATGCGTGGAATACTGGGTGGATGCGCCATTTCTTTGGGAGTTTAAGCCTGTATGTGACTGGCCTCAGCACCTCTACAACCTCGAATGGGCCATATCGACAGTTTGCGAGCTTCGCTTTTGGTCTAGTCGTTTTAACGTTCTTTTTGTTTAGTGTTACGCTGTCTCTGACTGCGAATCCCTTGCCTTCCTTCATGTAGTCATCATGGGTTTTTCACATCCATTCTGCTGTTAGATTTAGACTTGACTGTATTTCCTGTCACAGTTCTTCAAGTAGGCAGAGTTGCTCGTTGACTGCTGGAACTTGGGATATGGGGTTTACTGATGGGAACTAGTGTTGCCAACGGTCGGCTCGGCTCAGCTCCGGCTCAAGAGCCACAGCTCAAACCGACCCGCAGCTCCGGGAGCCGTTGACAGGGAACGGCTCGGCTCTTTGAGCCGCTTTGACCGGTTCAGCTGCGGCTCGAGCTGTTCAAAAAAATATTTTATTGATAGACTTATAAGCACTGAAAAACAAGTATATAAACTTTAATTGGGCTAATTCTCATTGAAAGTATTGATTTTGGGAGGTGATTGTGGGTCCAGTTGCCAGCCCAACTGTTCCTGCACGTGGCAACCCACTGGTGGGCCGCTTTTCCCATGCCAAGGCCAGGGTATCCAATGGTGTAAATACTGTGTTTGTACTAAAATTTATATTTTTCTGTGATCCACGAGAGCTATTATACATTCTATATATTTCTCAGAGCCTCTGATGGTCTAAGGATGGGAATAAAAAAAAAAAAAGAAATTGTGGCAGCTCCAACTGGCTGAGCCGACTCTGAGCCGGTTCTGAGCCGCTCTTGTAAAACGGCTCTCGGTGAACCGTTTTACCGGAGCGGCTATGGCCCGGTCCGGCTCCGAGCCGCTCAAGCCGCGGCTAGAGCCAAGCCACTGGCAACACTAATGGGAACATCTTGGGGAGAAATCCATGGAACATTTCGAAGGGGGACTGTTCAGTGGACGAGTGTATTCTGGCATTGTGGCAGAACTCGGCGTATGGCAGCCACCCAGCCCAGTCATCTTGACGATAGTCGCAGTAAAGTCCAAGGAAGTTTTCCAATTTCTGGTTGTACCGCTTGGATTCTCTGTCTGTCTGGGGATGGTAGGCAGTGCTGAGTCCAGATTCTATTCCCAGCTTTGTGTAGACTCCCTTCATGACCTTGCCTGCGAATTGTGGCCCTCGGTCTGAGATCATTTTATCCCATAGTCCAAAGCGCCTCCATACATTTTTGATAAGGAGGTCCACTGTACCGTTGCTGTCGATAGTTTTGTTGCAGGGGATGAGTACTACTGCTTTGGACATTCTGTTGACCATGACAAGTATAGAGTCGTGACTGTCAGAGAGAGGGAGGTTGGTGATGAAGTTGGCAGTTATTATGGAAAATGGTCTGGCAGGTGTTTTGTATGGAACCAACGGTACATGGGTTGGGTTGTTGTCTGGTTTTGTTAGTTGGCATTTGGCACATCCTTCCACGTAGTTTTTGACAAATGTGGACATCCCTGGCCACCAATATTCTTGTCCTAGGAGTTCATATGTTTTAAAGCATCCTGGGTGTCCTGCAATTGGGCTGTCATGGAATTGTTTCACCAGATCCCTTCGTAGTGTTTTGTCTGCTGGTACGTATATTTTTCTTCGGTATAGGGTTAGGCCATCTTTGTGTGTCCATTCTTGGAGTTGCTTCATGAGGTTTCTTGGTCCTCCCTGTAATAGTGCTTTGAGGGCCTGATGTACTTCAAGATCTCTTCTTGGTGATTCCTTGATTCGTCGAAGGAGCTCTGGGTCTCCCAAGTCCAACACAGTCCCTTTCCTAAGGGCTTTGATACAGAAGAATGTGGAGTCGAGTAAAATCCTGTCTTTGTTGTCATTGTCTGTCCCCTGTTTGTGGTCTGCTCTTCTCGATAAGGGATCACTTTTGTTTGTGGTTCCGGGTTTATGGACCAGCTCGAAGTCGAACCTAGTGAGGAATAAGGCCCATCGGGCCTGTCGTCGGTTTAAGTTGTGGGCCATGCGGAAATATTCGAGATTTTTGTGGTCTGTCCAAATATCAATGCGTGTTGGTGCTCCCTCCAGGTAGTGTCTCCATGCCTCCAGCGCTCTTATGATTGCAAGTAACTCTTTGTTGTGAATCTCATAGTTTCGTTCTGCTTCTGACAGTGATTTTGATAGGTATGCTGCTGGATGCCATTTGCCATCATTTCCTTGTTGTGACAGTATCCCTCCTGTGGCGTAGTTTGAGGCATCAACTTTGAGTCGGAAGGGTTTCCCTATGTCTGGCATGATTAGGACAGGGGAGGTTAGGAAGGCTGCTTTCAATCGAAGGAAGGCTTCCTTGCATTCAGCTGTCCATTCCCATGCATGGTCCTTCCTTGTGAGATCGAATAACGGGTGTGCAACTGTTGAGAAGCCCTTGATGAATCTGCAATAGAAGTTCCCAAATCCGAGGAACGCTTGAACCTCCTTCACTGAGCGAGGTGTTGGCCATTCTGCTACTCCTGCGACCTTTACTGGGTCCATGGCTAACTTGTTGTGGGATATGATGAGTCCTAGGACCTCAACCGCTTCTTGTTCAAACAAGCATTTTTCTGGTTTGGCATACAGGTCCTTGTCCTTTAGCCTTTGTAGTACTTGTCGAACCAGTTTACGGTGTTTGTTGAGGCTTTCGGTGAAGATCAGGATGTCATCCATGTAAATGACAACTTTCCCTGTGTCAATGAGGTCTTTGAATGTTGCGTTCATCATGGCTTGGAAGGTGGCAGGGGAGTTGGTGAGGCCAAAGTACATGACTGTTGGTTTGTACAACCCTCTGTTGGTTTTGAAGGCTGCTTTCCACTTGTCTCCGTCTCGTATGCATATGTTGTTGTATCCCCATCTCAGGTCATTTTTTGAGAATACCTTTGCCCCTTTTAGCTTGTCAACTAGTGCTGATATCAGAGGGAGGGGGTATGTGTTCTTTACAGTGAAATCGTTGAGATGTCAATAGTCTTGTACTGGTCATAGGGTGCCATGTTTTTTCTTTACAAAGAAGAATGGACTTGAGTTGGGCGATTTGGATGGTCGAATATATCCCTTTCTTAACTCTTCTTCAACGAACTTGTCCAGTTGTGTCTGTTCCACTGGGGCCATGGGGTAGGTCTTCCCTGCTTGTGGTGTGAATTCTGGTTTTAGGTTGATGGCATGATCCCATTCCCCTCTCTCTGGTAGTCGTTCGGACGTATTTTTGTCAAAGACATTCAAAAACTCATGGTAGTGATGGGGTACAATTTCTTCCTTGGTTTGTGTTTGGTGGTCCTGATGTTGTTCTTCTGCAAGTTGTTGCAATCTGGTGAAGGCTGCCCTTATTGATATTGGGGTTTCCTGGTGTATTTCCTCATATTCTCGAGGGATCTTCCCTAATATTGATGCAAGTGTCCGGCCTTCCCATTCCTCGGGGACCTGGAACTGCTCCTCTTCATCTTCGGTGTATAGGATGTGGGCACTGGGGTGGTTTCTTCACTTCTCTTCTT